TTTTATGCTCCTGTGTTTCATACTTTGGACTCATTTTCAAGCAGTCGGTTACTTGTGCAGGAGGCCATGCAAGGTTGGAATTAGATATCTAGAAGATGGTACTAAAGTAAGAGTTTCTAGAGGTGAAGGATCATCTGGGTCCATAATTCCTCGTCCTGAGATTTTAAAGATAAGGACAACTCCAAGACCTACTGTTGGTACATCACTAAAAACTTACCTTTTTGCTGTGACTCATTTGACTAGAATTTAAAACTTTTGAAATTTGCATTTGATGGTACATAGGAATGGGATGTGAGGCAATGTGTAGTGTCTGTCTTTGCTTATTTATTATAAATTCGCATGACACATGCTAATGCCAAGGGGATATATAGCTATCATGTGAATAAATTCTGTGTTCATAAGCTTTTGTTAAGTATAACAACACATTAAATAGTAATTCAAAATGGTAAATCCAAAGAACATAGAATATATAGAAGCATCTCCCCATGCCAAAACATAGGTAGGCATAAAAAATTAAGTTCTCGGTGCTACTTAGCATGCACTTCATGATTCATAATTGGTGGAATACATGGAAAAAAACAAGTAAAAGATTCATCATGTATCAGAAATGGAAGAAGCTTAATGGCATATGCAATGTGTTTTTGGAAAGAAAAAAAGGCAGATTCTGATATTTAGTGATTGAAATCTTTCATATCATGAGATTGGTATGTTTTGAATCTCCTTTTCTCTATTTAGCCAATTTGATTAATGGGTATGTAACTTGTAAGTTGGTGACTATAGTTGATTGACAGCCCTCATTAAATGGATTATATAAATTGGACCTGATTGAGGTGAAGTATGGTTTAGTTTGTAACGCATTATATATTTGGTCCTAATAGCATGGTCTATGAGGTATGTGATGATGAAAAGGTGTTGAGCGGGACAAGAACCTCATGGCTCATTGCTAGTGTAATTTCACAAATTTCTGCCAGCATGCCACTAGGCTGGATGTGCATCATCTAAAAGGATTTCACTATGCGAGCATTGTTCTAGTGTTTATTCCTTGAGTGAAAAACATGTTTCTTGATTGTTGGCGGGAAGAGGGGGGACTCTATCTGGTATTTTGGTAAGATAAATGGAGGTTGAATGGCTTTTGATGGGACTGAAGTAATTCTGAATTGCTCGGTTGAATTATTGTTCTGAATAAACAAATAAAATGTACCAATAGATATATGAGATTTGATTTCATTCCAAACATATTATCTATGAAACTTGCTCTAGAATAAGTTAACACGTACAAAGTATTATCTGGAACTCTTTAAGATAATCTTTCCATTGTTTTCACTCCTGTTCGAAGTCATCGTTGGCAATAAACTGATTTAATATTCTTTTTCCAGCTGGTCCCAAGGATACCCCAATGGATCTTGTGTGGAAGAAGACATACGATGCTAAAACCGGGAAGGGAATGCCTGACCTGTGAGCAAATCTTGTGCATTTTTGTGGCAGACATTAAGCATGTTGATGAGAAGTGTCGTGCAATGTGAAAAATAATGATTTTGTAAGGAATTCAGCTCCCAGTTTTACCATTTGATTAGCACATTCTAAAAGTGGGATGTTTGGATTAATTTGTAATCGCACAAATGTAGCTGATCTCCCTATGTGTGGGTGTTTCTTGCCTGCGTTTATGATCCGTGGCCAAAACAGAGATTAATTTGAGCACTCGTAGATGAAATGTAAAGGTAGTGGGCTAAAGAAGTCACTGATGCCGTTCAGGGGCTTTCATTTAATGCCAATTTGAGAAGAGTTCTTAACTTGACAAGGTTATTTTGTTTATATCGGTACTGAAATCCAACAGTAAGACCCACCGTTGTTCCAAAACCAATTGATCCAGCTTTCGTATCTCCAATCTATTGTAGACGATGGAAGATGACGCAGGGCCTTGAATGGATGAATATCCCCTCCCGTAGCAGTGTTCTATGAAAAGTTGACAGATGCTTCAAGCGTTTTCCAGTCATTCTAAGGGTTCTGTTCTTTTTGGACGCTTTATATTTGGGCATTGGTTTTTCCTTTTTGGACTTCTCAAGTTGATCAAAGCTTACGATAGACTCGCTATCATTAAAAAGAGCTAACCGGAATGGGAAATCACTGTAATTCGTTCCAAATTATTCCCACGGCTTTCTGGAATAGTGAAATGTTATTTTTGCTCTTTCATCTATAACACTCACCCTTAATAGTTAAATGATCAGATTTAGATTTAGATTTAGATGTGGTTATTTTAGGTTTGATTTGGTTTTTATTAAAAATTAATTAAACCGATTTTTTTAAAAAAAATAAAAATTGGTTCAAACCAGCTGATTTTAGTTTGGTTTGATTTGTTTTTAGAATAAAAACCGGCTCAAACTTATTTACCTTAGTTTTTTTTGTTTTAGCTTGATCACTGGTGGTGATCTGGTGTAGCATAAATGGGTTCTTTTTTTTTTCCTCATCTCTTTTTCCTCCCTTGAAAATTATAACTTGACCCTCTTGGTTATTTGTATTACAATTTTAATTCTTATTTTTTTTATTTTTAATTTTTGGTTTTGATCCTTTTATAGAAGTTTTGTTTGTTTTTAATTTCATCATTCAATCTCAATTTATTAAATATTATATTTTTCAATATAGTCTTTATTCTTTGAATTTTTAATTTTTTTCATTGGTTCTTTTATAAAAAATTTAGTAGTTTTCAATTTCATCCTTAAAATCAAATTGAAGGTGTCATATTTACCAATTTGGTCCCTATTGTTTTGATTTCTGATTTTTTTTCTTGGCTTTTTTATAAATTTTATTATTCTTTTTAATTTCACCATTTACTTACAATTTTTATTTTTATTTTTATGTCAATTTCAATTATTTTTTTTCCTTTTAACAAATTTATTTTTTCACCCTTTAATTAAATATAAAATTTATTTTATATTTTAATTTTTATTGTCATTCTTATAATTGCTATTTTTAAAAATCATTTTGTATAATTGATTTTTTTCTTCAATTTCATCTTTTCATATTTAATTTAATATGAATTGGACTCCATGATTTTTTAAAATTCAGTGTTTTAGATCTAATAACTCATGTCACAAGTTTGAAAAGTTAATAAAAGTTTTTTTAAAAAATTTTATAATCTTTTTATCGAGTTATTTCAATCATAACATCTAAGTCTTAAATTTGGTAAGATATCTTAAGTTAACTAAAATCTAATTATCATGGTTATAGACTCTTTGTTATATCTTTTTTACCCCCATTTTAATACATTAACATCAATTTTTACATAAAAATAATCCAACACCAAGGCTACTACAAAGTACAAATACCTTAAAAAAACTGTTTTTTTATTCTGCTGCCAATGAACTCTCGTTTTCCTGTTCAACCCGTTGTAACAATGGCCATTTTTTCCCTTTCTTGGTCCCTAAGATTTTTATCACTTACAATTCAATCAATGAAATATTTTTTATAACTATATCCTTGCAAATTATATTGACATGATTTTACATATTATAATTTGTTTTAATTTACATGCTCTCGCGTATATGATATGTTTTGAAGTATTGTTATATTAAATTAAAGATAAATTTTGTAAAATTAAATTTTAAACTATTTTAAAAAAAAGGACCAAAATGAATATTAAAAAAAAAGCATTTTCTCATTTACACAATTCAAATAGGGTTTAAAAGTCAAATTTGATCCATGTTTTACAGATTTTTACAATTCAATCCTAAACTTTATTTTTTGTGTTTCAGTTCTTATATGTTGATTTAAAAGAAAAAGTCATTGAAAAATAAAAAAAAGTAAGAGAAAGCTTTAAGGTGACCAAATTCAGCCATCAATCACTATGATTTTGGTGGTTATGAAATGATTTTTAAGAGAGAGACTCAATAAAGATAGTTTCTCACCTTCAATCATGCTAAGAAAGGAAAATCATGGCTTAATAATGTTTTTTTTATTTCACTTGATTTTGTATTTTTAGTATGGTTAAAAATTGTATTTTGTTTAGAAATGAGATTTTAAAGGTACATATTTTTTTCCATGTATTTTTGGTTAAAGAAGGTTGAAATTTGAGATTTTTAGAATCCAAAAACTTCAACCTCTAGGTTTTTGTCATTTGAGCCACCTCTAATAATCGATGTGTTATCCATTTTATTTATAATAATAATAATAATAATAATAATAATAATAATAACCTTTTGCTCCTTTTTATTTTAATTTTTTTAAATTACACGGGTGAGCCTTCGTTCGAAGATCAAGTGCACCTGTTTTATTTACATTTGGACCAAGTGCAAATCCTATATTCCACCTCAAGCCTGCCTTAACTTTTCTAAAATAACCCTTATTATTATTTTTAATTGATTTTGTACATTTTATAATAATATTTTTTTAAAAATAAATTTATCATGATGATATTTAAATGATTATTCAATATGTCTGAGTTTTTTTTATGGTAATATTAAAAATTATTTTTAAATAATTATATAAAAACACAACATGCAACATTGTTTTAAAAAAATTGTATTGAGCATTCAATGCAAAAAAATATATATGTTTTTTTATTTAATATTTTTATATAGTTTTTCTCAAAATTAGTGTTATTGTACTTTTTGACATATTCGTGTCAAAATTATTGAATTATAATTTTTTATTTTTAAATTAAAATTTATTTTTAAGATTAT